AAAAACTAGTCTACAATACTTAGATACCACAAATTTCACTGCAAACTATTGCTATAATCAATGTGTAATAGATGGTCGATTCAGCTGTGCTTCCTTTAATATGCTTGAAAAAAGTACAAAAGCTAGGGCACCTTATTATCCACAGTGAAGTTTTCGTTGCATTCTACTGCTACATGGAAGTTTTCTTGCTTCATAATAGCTCAAAAACTAGTCTACAATGCTCTTGGTCTTTCCGAGACCCCACATTCTATACGTTCTTGCTTGACAAATGTGAAAACTATTCTACAAGTATCAGGTATCGCAATAATTCTCTGCAATATTTTGCTATGGTCAATGTGTTGCATGTTGTTAATTCAGCTTCACTTCCTCTCTTTTGCTTGAAAAAACTACGAAAGCTAGGGCAACTTATTATCCACAGTGAAGTTTTCGTTGCATTCTACTGCTACATGGAAGTTTTCTTGCTTCATAATAGTTCAAAAACTATCAACATTACTTAGATACAACAAATTTCATTGTACGGCTAATGCTAGTCGGCCATTTTTGTCGCTGCGGAAAATGCGCATGCGCTTATATTTAGCACAGGTACCTTGACCGGGTCCGCTTGCTCTGTCTATCTTGAAGGCACAAGAAGTCACAACGAATGGCGTGTATCGACTCTCGCATGCTATCTACTACTATAGCTAGCCCCTGTCAGATTCTCTGCGAGCTACTTCGCCGAGGGTTTGCACTTTAGTGCTTTTCATTAGAGCAATGATTTGTCCTCCTGCCAGTGTTCAAAGTTGGTCAAATAGTGCATTTGACAGTGAACAGGTCAAGCCTGCACCATCTGGCTCCACGTTGATGACTTTGACGACACTGTCCTCCACCACTGCAGAGAACCTGCTCCACTAGAGATAACCAACACTTCTCACGTCTTCTAATATCCACTGACCGTTTGCAGCGTACAGACCCAGAGCACCTACTGCATCAAACTCCAAGTCAAGTGCCTGCAATAGTCACAACACAATGTCATCGTCAATCCCTACCTTCAAGTCTTCAATAGACCTTTGTGTAGGCTCCGTTGTGATCAGCCAACATCCTGACCTTTGCCATCAGCACCACGTGCCTCTCCCAAGCCGCCATGACAAACACATCATTGACAGACACACAGGCCACTACCTCAACTCCCTTGGCCTTCAGCTTCTCCCAGTCTTGCACATAGCCTGGCAGGTGAGTCTGTAGGAAAGCAACCCGAACTACTGTACTGGACCCAGCACATATCAGTCCCACACCTTCGTGCAGCCAGGGGTGAAGGCTCCAGGCACTCCGAATAGGATGCCCTTCTTGCTAGCGAACAAGTCCTTCACATTCACAGTTGTGGCTGGTGTGCCTTCCTGCACCTCCAGAGATGGCAGCGTGTCTCCAACCTACCAAACATGGACAATGTGCACGTCTCCTACTGCCACAACTACCTGATCACCTTATAGGCATTCTTAGAGTGCGGCGACTGATATCCCTCTTCTACTCACGTGTCGTAACATTTGCTGGTGCGCTAACCATGCGCGCATGCGCCAACAACCAGAGTCAGATTCTTAGAATCAGAATTGGGTCCGGACCGGGACGCCGCACGCGCATGCGCCCACCGGCATGCGCAGTGGTATTTGACATTGTGTGTGGGTGTCATTGTAATTTGATTCTCTCTACATCTTCAGTTCTGAACTCAGTCCTACATTATAGTTGGAGAATTAACGGCACACCAGTCCATAGACTAACTGAGATGAGGACACGACGGACCTCGGTGGGAGTCAGTCCTCCACAACATGCTTCCTCCCCAGTAGTCAAACAACTCGTTTACCTCACACAACAAATACTCGTTACCATGATGGAATTACAGGGCCAGACTCACTGTCTCCAAAGTCAGGAGTGTTGCTATCTGCATGAGACGGGTAAACCTGTCTCTTACAGGCCACTGGTGAGGGAGGACAGGTAACTGGTGAATGAGCGCAGATCTTTGTCCAGCTGAACTCCACCCAACTAATGTAAAGTGATGTATATAATGTGAACCAATGCTCCAATGGTCATGTGGTACCTGTTGAATTGACAGCTCAGTATTCTGCTGCCTCCAGAAGGACAGCGAGTTCAGTAGTTAACTCAGAGAAGACTGTTCGAACACAGCTGGAATCGTTTTACCTGCACCACACACTACCTGCCACACACACCCACTGACGAGCATATGTCTACTTGATAACTGATAGGGCACTCTCAATCGCTATCAGCAGTTGCTGCACAAATGGATCAGTCATCATAGTCACAATGAAATCTTCCTGCAGATAAGTATGCAGTGGTAGTGGTGTGAGGTTGTCAGCAAAACCTCTGACAGACTGTGCTGAAGTGAGAGAATGGGCGCTGATGGCTGGCTCCAGAGCAGGCACTAGAACACTCCTCACCACAGCCAACTCCTGTCTGGTTGGTCAGGCAAAAGCAGTACTACGAGTCCCAGACATTGTTTTAACCTGTCTTAGTTCCTGGAACTTGTGGTGGACACTGCGAAACGTCGGCCAGGTACAGCTCTAAGACACCAGGGCGCATATCAGCAAAAAACAGAGGAATTCCTACGTCTGATTTTCCCTTGGTCCGATCCGTGCAGATGCCCGCAGCTTTGGCTCCTCGGCCTGTACCATTTACACTGAACACAACTTCTACCTTAAGAAACACTTGCTCTATACCTGAAGACCTGAAGCTCGCCCGTCCACTTTTGGATGTTGTTCATGCTGACTTCCACGTCATGCAGAGCCACCTGAACACACACCTCAATACGTTCACACTCAAAACCATACCCACATGTAGGAGCCAGCGCTCCCACTTCATTCTCCCTGCGTTCTGATAGCACGAGATTTCCCCTGCAGCATCCCCGTCAGGTCTACAGACTGTGAGTGAGGGGCGTGAGGGCTCTCGACCAATGCTCCTCCACCCCCCCCCCCTTTCTTTTCTCCTCCTCCTCCCCAAACCCTCCCCCACCGATAAGATATCCACCTCACCGCTGCCACTCACCCATACGCTCACTCACTCTCCATCCGTTAGCCCACCCCCGCCTTCTTACCTACAATGTCACCTTCTGTCCTTATATTCTGGATGAGCCACGGGGAGGTGAATGAGAGCTAAACGTGGTGGATGTGGTGGGGTCGAGCTGAAGTCGGAGCTGTAGCTGGTTCCTGAATTCTGTCAACAGAAGTGAGCTGGAGAAGGGGTGGAAAGAGGTAGAGGGAAGGAGCAAATGAGGAAGACACTGCGACCTGGCATTGTGAGTACGGCACAGGCTCCGTCAACAGTGCACACTGAGAAGGCGCTCCTGCAAAGAGCATCATTAACTCCACCCACTGACAACACCAACTTATCAACGTGCTGCACTTCTGAAGAACAAAGAACATCTCATCAGCCCTCCTTGATGTGCAGCCATCGGGATTACAGGTGTCCATAGCAACTGCTGAGAGATACAGAGATGGATGCATGTAAAAGTGAAAGTAGGGATGGGGCATACACCTGCAGAGACTCTCCCTCTGAGTAGTCCTCTATCGAATGTACTGCTCATCTCTCCTGCTCCAGTTGGCTGGTGCGGCAGGTCCGCAGCACTCCTCACAGACTTCTCTCTCCTTTCACTGAAACACAATGTGTGCACACCTACAAGTATACACCAACACTTACCTTCACTGCTGTCAGTCCATGATCCCCGGCTGCTGATTGAGACTAAGTCACACATAACTCCCTCCTTCTCTCTCTTCCTCACCGTGCTGGCTTTGCGCATAGAGGGGTGTGGTGTGTGGGTTAACCTGAAGTATAGCTTTGTCGAGTGCGCACAGCTGAGTTCAGTTAGGAAGAGGTCCGTCTTGGACTGCGGGTCTGGAGGAAGGCGGGGCCTGGCAAAACCACAATTAACAACATAATACCTGATGGCAACATTGGCAGAGCGAGAGTTTGAAGCAATTTGAGACAGTCGAACTGAGACTCGGCTTGGTACATTTCTCGTTCTCTGTCGCCTTACTTGTGTGGTCGCAGTAGCCTTCTGCATGGGAGGTGTTCATACCCTGGCCACACTTCGGCTCATGCGACTCAGTCTACACTCCAACACACAAATCATCACAGGTATGTGTGTCACGCTCCAATCGGCTGGAGTTCTGACCAGGAAGGCATCCAGGTTGGTCCGCGGTAGTGTTCATTCAGACTATTTCAGCGCAACTCGTACTTATACGACCCTTCCATAGTTTTCTCCCCAATGGCTGTGTTGATTCCAGGCAGCGAGCAAGGGCTCGTATGAGAAGAGTAAGGGTGTCGGCATACACCACACCGCCCTGTCCTCTGTAGGGAGGTCACCACAGCCCATTGAAAGGGACTAGCTTGATTCATCACTGCAGCCCCTGCCCAGCAGATTAACAAACAATTGGCTGTGCCGGGAGACATTGCACAGACATAGGGCTCCATCAACACCTATGATCCCAGCCACTCAGGAAGGGAGAGGCTTCCCTCCCTCCCCTTCTCGAGTTGGCGGAGTCCCTTTTGCCACTGGTACCACACCACATCTCCATGTAGGACCCTCCCTCAGAGGCTACCACCCATACCTAGGGTTGGGCATCCCTCTCCAGACTGGACTCTGCTTGTCTCTCTGATCTGTAGAGGAGGAAGAGATGGTGCTGGTGAGAACCGGCCCCCTCCGTCATTTTAAAACCGGTCTTCGCAGGTGGGACGATAACAGGTGCAAGCCTTCTTTTTGTAGGTTGATCAGGAATATCTTGAAGAACCTGAAATTAATCTCCACAGATCATCTGCTGCTGCTTCCAACAGGAATCTGACCTTTTCAACCTAGGGTGGTCTGCTTGCCATGGCATCAGCCATGCTAGTTCTCACGACCTCCTTGAGTTTTGCCTCAAGCCTCTCTCAGGAGGGAGAAAGAGCTGCTCACTGTACCTCCCCTGCATGATGACATGATCAAACACTCCACTACTATAAGGGTGGCGCTGCAGAACTATGTATCTTTCCTCATGCAGCTATCAGTGAGGGATGGGGCTCTGAGCCACTCAATGCTTGGTCATTATGGAAACGGACGACAATGACAAAGATATTTGCAAACATCCTAATTCATTCCCAGTTCGTAATACACTCAGAGTCACCAAAACAAGCCAAACTCCCTCCCTCCTTAGACCTGCTTTTACTGAGTCAGCAGTTGTTTCAAGTAAGATGTTTTCGTCAAGGGCCAAGTAGCGGTGGATATGGGCAGCTGCCTAAAGTGAGAGTTTATGCACAAACGTGAAGTTTACAGAACATCGCACGTGTGTGGTCTTGTTTTTCACATGCAAACATGTTTGTTCTGTAGTGTGAAAATTGTTGGAATGCAAAATCAAATTCCATGCCATTAGAAATACCCTCAGTTTGCACATGAGGCATAACCTAAAGCGTCACTGAGCTATTACTGGTTCCTAAAGCAATTCCCCCGCGGCACACAAACGGAGCAGTTGGACCACAACCACATCTCTCATGGGACTTGTCAGCTAGCTTCAGTATGGGCCAACCCCCCCCTCATTTACAGGCACAGCCATCAACCCCTCAGTAGCAGAACCCTAACCCATGAGAGAGGCAGTAAGCCACACCTCCCTCAGCTCACAAATCTGTGTTCTATATAGTCCACACACCGGGCCACTCAATGGCAACAGACAGTATTGTGTACAAGGAGAGGCTGACTGTGTTATTGAACCACATCCATACCTTCTCATAATCTCCAGTAGTCATGGCATACTCACACCGTCCACACAGCTCTGTACACAGAGGACATGGGAGGGTGCACTGATATTGCTTACGTCAGTCAAGAGTAAATAAACATCTTCCGAGATCAACAATATTCAAAGACAGCGACATAAGCAATATCTGACTGACAATGACGTAACCCCAGACCATCAGCAGAGAGCGAGGGTACAGAAAGAGACAAACAACCCAAATGTGGGAGTAGAAAAGTGAAATATGCAAAGAGAGAGAGAGAGAGTAATGGGTGGAATGGACAAAACCTCCACAAAAGAACAGACAGTATACATACATCACATCAGTTTGCTGTTGACCAGCCACTGGCACCAACCCCCATAGGCAAGAGAGAGAGAGAGTAAATGGTTGATGGACAACCACCTCCACAAGAAGAACAGACAGTATAACATACACACACACACAGTTTGCTGTTGACCAGCCACTGCACCAACCCACCATAGGCAAAGAGAGAGAGAGAGTAAATGGGTGGAATGGACAATACCCCTCCCACAAGACGAACAGACAGTATACATACACACACAGTTTGCTGTTGACCAGCCACTGGCACCAACCAACCATAGGCAAAGAGAGAGAGAGAGTAATGGTGGAATGGACAACACCTCCACAAGAAGAACAGACAGTATACATACCACACACATTTGCTGTTGACCAGCCACTGGCCACCACCAACCATAGGCATAATGGGAATGCTAGAGACGAACACGTTAGTTAGCCAAACGACACATACCATGAATGTATGAATATCTCAACTGCATGCTATAGCGTGAATACCTTTAGGTCATAACATCATCAACTCTCTTCATGCAGTCATACACTCGACTCTGTGAACAATACATGACATCATCAATTCCTGAGGTGCATAGGTTAGCACCAAACCTTGGCCTGGTCCAAAACAACGGACTTTACAGTGACAGAATCTGCTATCTGACTAGCACGACAATGACCCGTGCAGACACCAGCTTCCTATCCGTGTCTTCAGTGTGGGTCTGAGAAGAGCAGAGAGAGAAGGGGGGACTGTAGCGAGAGAACCAGATACTTCAGCCTCACAGCATATGCTGGAATAGCGCCATCCTCAAGTCTAACTGGGACTGCTCTTCTAGCAGCTGCTCTAGCTCCTTACTCACTTTCTCCTGCATACTCATATTCCATATACGCACATCCCTGTTTCTCGGTCACCTCCTCAGCCGTAAGATGTTCCAGCAGCTTCTGAGGCTTGCTCAACGTCCCTAACAGAAGACACGGATTCCGTCGTCGTCCTCTCCATTGTATCGGTCCGTCTATGGCTAGCTACGTGTCATAGATCAGCCATGGGTCGTTCCCAGCGGCCTCCTCTATGAGCTCTGAGCATGCGCGCGCATACTGTACGTGTGCGACCCGGTTAGATATGCGCCGCGCGCGCGTGTATAAAAGGCAACAAAACTCACTCGGCGGCACTTTCCCTTCTCCTCCGAGCGAAAAGAAGGCAATGACCGGTGCAGTTTTGTTGCCTTCGTCGGTGGCTGTGCGCGATCTTCGCTAGCCCTGTACCGCTGCGACGCACTAGCCAAGCGGAGTCCTCTCCGTGTCAGCTTCGGATTTGGGCTGTACAGAGACTGAGAATAGACTATGGGTCACACCAGCAACTCGAGAAGTCGTGACTCCTATCTATTAGGTAAGTTACAACCACATCATGTAGTATAATATTGCATTTTCATTCGTCCTGTTGCAGCAAACCTGCGCCGAAATTGGCAGTGCCTACGCGGCGGACTTCGGTCACAGCGGTTGTGTACCGCATAAGGCCTGGGGGAGTCAACGAGTTAACGGTATTCTTGCGACATGTGTATGCGGGAGACGGGCGAAGGTTGGATAGTGATTCAACGACGTGTCGACGACAGTGTCGCATTCGAGGATAAGAGCTGGCAGGACTTATGAGGATGGATTCGGGGATTACTTCGGAAACTACTGGATGGGATTGGATAAAATTCATGAAATAACACAATCTGGCACTTATGATCTTTATATCTCCTTCAGAAACAAAACACATGTAAATATCTCTTTCACCTATATTGAGTATGCGGTGTACACCAACTCAATGTGGACAGCGAAGATGAAGATTACAAGATGACATTTATGAACTTGATAATGACCGATCAAGCAGCAGGATTAAAACCAATGCTTACTCTTTTAGTAATACTGCTGGAGCCGGGCTAGGCAGACACAAAAATTTGAAATTCTCAACATATGATCGGGATAATGATGGTATAAGTACTACGGACTGTGCAGGTGATCCTGGTGGCACTTTGTATGGTGGTGGTGGTTTGGAGATGTCATGATAGTCCACAATGTTACCATGTCAACCTCAACGGAAATTCCCTCAGAACATTTATGTATCTGGGGTAATGGACAATGCCATCAAGTGGGAAGATTGTGAATGACGAACTAACTCATGAATAACACTATTATGGCCATTCGAAGAAACTCCATTAGTCAAAACACAACTAGCCTCGTACCCAGCCGTTGTGGGGAGAGAAACGGGTAACTAAACACAAATAATTAAGTCCTGTGTGCTTGACATTATTTTTGAGAGGTTAATAGCGATACGGCACCGCGCGCGCGAATCGAGCTCAGCCCCGCCCCTCCTCACTTGTCGCGCTACGTAGCACAAAATGCAACCAAGCTGGACTGGAAGTCAAGCTACCCGCGGCTTGATATAAGTTGAAAGGCCCTGAAGCGAGGATCGTGCGTTAAGGGTCTAAAGACTCGCATCGAACAGCAAGCAGGAGTACTACCACACACTTACTACTTCACGTATCTGGACGCGGCTCCCCTGCAGGAAGATAGAACACTGCGCGACCTTGAAATTGTAAGTGGGGCCGTGCTACGAGCCGTCGCGTGGCGGCTGTGGCAAGAGTTGGTTGCATCCACTGTACGAGGAGCCGTGAGGCAGTGCTGTGAAGAACTGCGAGCGATCGGCGACAGAGGAGATGAGCCTTGGCAGAACTACTGTGCCTGGTGCTCAGCGTTCACTGCGGCCCACGGCGGGCACCATGTCCTGCTTGCCGAGTTACTCAAAGGCTGGCCTGCCCTGGCCGTCAACGCGCAGAGCCCCAGTGGCTGGACAGGTCTTCACGCAGCGGCGGCCATGGGGCGATGGAAAACTCTTTGCATACTCCTTGACCACGGCGCAGATGTTACTGTAAGAGACAGGTAATAACTAACTATTACACCATAGCTAATCCACAATCCAATCCATTCCAGTCAAGGAACATCAGCAGCAGACTTGGCACACAGCAATGGTCACAAAAAATGTGAGCAGAGCCTTCGTTTCTGTGAGTGGAACATCAAGAAGTACAGAATAGTAAAAGAGAGGAGATGGGACCATGATGCAGGCAGAGAGCGAGAAGCAGCCAATAGGAGGGCCCACCAGTTTACTGACTCAAGGAACAGCACCTGGCTGAGTGGACCACGGGGCTCCGAATACCGCCTTCACATTCCCAACCCAGTCTCTGTCAGGGATGTGCACCAGTTCCGAGCCAGTCAACAGGAGAAGACACAGGAGAGCCGGCTGAAGCTTCCACCCGTTACAGCCACACCCAGTGTGGAAACATTTGACTACGGCTGGTTTGACAAATTGAGAGCCCAACAACTTGTACCAAACACCCACCAGATTTTGACGTACTCTGATCCATCCTCCACTTCACTCCAACCTCGCTCCCTTCTCAATCCCAATGGCTACCTTCTTCCCTCTACACTTCCCAGAGAAAAACACTTATAGCAGCTTACACACATGCACACACACATGCACACAGCAATGTCAGTAGCAGTGAGTATGGTATATATCAGCAGTTTGTCACTGGAGTGGAACAAAGGCGTTTTGAGCCGCTGGAAACTTGATGTTGTATGCAGCTTCTGGGATATACTGCACCACAATCTGCTTTCCTGCATGCCAGAAACAGGCTGGGGTCAAAACCAGCAAATGATGCATGTACATTGAGCATACAACCTGCAAAGAATCTTCCATTCAAACGGTTGAAAGCTGCAGTAGCCACTTGCGCTGAGGAACACTTGACGTACACATTTCCTTGAGACAGTTTGTCCACATGGATGTGGTACACAGAGCCAGCCTGGGAGCATTCCTCTAGCACATCATCTCTAATGTCATTCTCCCAGCCTGGCTCACTTTCACTGGACACACACACACACACACACATTAGCAGTTGTGCTCTGTATATATATATATATATAGGTGGGGGTGTGGCTCACCTCATGGGGTCGAACATGTTGCTGAGCATAATGCAAGGAGAGGCAGTAGGAACGCCAGCAGCTACCCCTGCCACTTGTGGAACTGCCAGCCCTGCATTGTGGCCATCAGATAACTTTGCCATGAGCTGGGCCCGGGCAGCAGGAGTCATCCCCACTCCAATGTCAGTGTCCTCTCCATCCAGATACTCCATGGCTGTGGTGTCTCTCTCAGTGACATTGTTGATCTTGAGCGGTCGGCCAGCCAGCTCCACACCATTCATGTTGGAGAAGGCCCTCTCTGCACACTCTGAGTCACTGAACTGCAGTAAAACTCCACATGTACACACATACCACCCAGTTACTATTACTGCACATACCTCCACAAAGGCATAGCCCTTAGACAAGCCATTCTCATCCCTCATCAACTGAATCTTGTCAACGGCACCAAATGGCTCAAAGATTGTCTTGAGAATGGATTCATTGATGCTGTAGTGCAGTGATCCGACATAGAGTTTCCTAGGCCCTTCAGCTTTCTTCAGGTTCTGTGCCTGAGCAGCTAGCCTGCACACACCAAGAGTCAGTGACATGCAGAGCTCTATGCCAAAGAAAATTCACCTGTTCTTTTCGGCCATGGTTGGTTGCACGATGATGGGAACACCAACCAACTTCTGTCCTGTCAGAGCCAGAGCCTTGGGAAAGAGAGCCGTCCATACTCTAGTGCGTACAGCATACAACACAAGTGACCAGCTTACCGGCAAGACACTGTTCTCGTCGTAAAACTCCACATACGCAATGCCTTTAGAGCGACGGGAATTTCTGTCCGAGATCATCTTGACGTCACACACCTGCCCAACCTTCTGGAAGAACTCCTCCAAGTCATGCGGTGACACCTTTGCTGACAGCTGCATGCACATTACTGTACGCCGATCTCTCTCCACAGACGGAGGCTCAGCATTGGGGGATGGCCTCTTTGCCGGAGGGCCCAGAGTGATTGGTCGTGACGAAGGACTCTTCCCTTTGGGGGACGGAGACCTCTTGTGGTAGCGACGATGGCCACCTCGTCCCTTTTCCCTGGAGTGAGATCGCGACTGCCTGCGTCGCTCCCTGGACCCTGACCGAGATCTGCAGACACACAGACAGTAAGAGAGATTCCCACTAACCACACCCCCTCCTTGCCTCCTGCGACGACTGCCTCTGGAGTGGCGATTGGAGCGGTCTTTGCTGCGGCTCCTGCAGGAGGAACAGTTTGAGGCAACTGGTGGGGGGGACAGCTCAACTATATACCTCTTGTGGGGAGAAAGCGAGCCAGAGCGGGACCTCCTGTGACTGTGCCTACGATGGTGCCTGGAGAAAGTGGGAGGGTGTAGGGTTTACCCCAGAGGTGGCACTTCCAACTTACTTTCTTTTGCCCTCGTCGTCTCTACTGCGACGCCTGTCCTTCTCTTCCTCCTGTTCTTCCTGAACAAGGAGGCCATAGCAGTCACACAACACACGCACAAGAGGGAAGAGAAGAGTGGGGGAAGAAATCAGGGGGTGGGGAGATGAAGAGGGGGAGAAAGGAGAGAATTACAGCAGACTCGGGTTAGTGGCTGTCCGGTGCAGAGTGTAGTGAGGCCACACTACTACCCGGCCTGTACAATGCAAGGAGTCAAAACTTCGCAAGTGGGTCTACCTAGAGCATGCAGGGAGAGAGGGGCCAGGGTGGCTGGCCAGTCCACACATAACCTACATGAAATAGGAACAAGTCATCTTATTTCAGCACACGGTACCATCTCTCACAAAAACACAAACCATACAATTTGTCACACGTGAACACCACCGGAACTCGCTCACGTTTCAACTCACTTTCTCGGTCTCCTTTTTAAAAGGTGCTTCTAGCAGGTCTTCTACGTCTACGTCATCTGTCATTTTACGAGATTTGGTGAAGAAAAAGGCTAGCTACGTCTTTCAGACAAAAGTCGGCCACGCGCGTTTTTGTGTAAATCACGTGAGCATCATGTGATAATCACGCTGTCGGCTCTCCTTTGACTCAAGAGCAAAGTTGGGTATTTTGCCTCAACGCAGTACGGGAGTGAGTTGCGTTTTGCCTTTGCATTGCACAGCCTAGCCAGTGTAGAGCTCAGTGTATAAACTGTGTGACAAATTTCCTGGAAGTTTTGTTTTGGCTCCGAGATTGCCTGGCATGTTTTAGATGCATGCCCAGTCTGGCCGTACATCTAGCTAACAGTAGAAGTTCTGTGCCGGGTTATTGTGGGTTGATAGCACAGAAAACAGAGGAGCAGTCTAAAGACCAGTCTTTGCTAGTAGTTGTAGTCTAGTATGGGCGTCCTGCCATGTTGGTAAGTGGGGCACATGTGTGGTGAATGGTGCCAAGTAAATACTGTTAGTCACGTAAGCAGTTGATAAACCAACGTGTTGCTGTAGAAGTGATGTCGTGTGTTGGTGCTGGGGTAGAGGAGGGAGACCTGGACTATAATGAAGATTTGGACGACATCACATCGCATCTTCGGAGACCCAGCGAGGAAGATGAGGTCAAGGTTCATGCAGCGGTGGAAATAGAGGATGGAGAGCTAAGCTCCGGAGAAGAGGGAGAGATCAAAGGTAGGTGTGGCATTCTTGTGATTTTATTGGTAAAGTAAATACCACACTTACAGCGTTATGTCATTGAAAGTTTTCTCTTTGGTCTGCAGATGTCAGTGGGGAGATGTCTGGCCCCGCCCACCTCCAGAATCCCAGCACTCCCTCACCCACTCCAGAGATTAGTGATGACATCATTGAGTGTGAGCCTCAGGACTATGGTGTTGGTGAGGAGAAGAGAGAAGAGAATGGGAAGAAGGAGAGAGAGGAGGAAAAGAGTAAAGAGGATGAGAAGGAAGAGGCCGATAGTGATAGGGGGAGTTCAAGTAGGAGGAAGGTGAGGTGTAGGAGGTACGGGGAGGAGTTGGATTGATTGGCTCTGCTGCAGGTGACCGGCTCTAGAAGTCCAGTGAGGAATCGAGGGACTTCAGTCTGTCGCCACTTCCTGCAAGGTGAGTGAGAGGGTCGGTGTATGTACCAGTAGACTAGAGTGAGAGGGTCGGTGTATGTACCAGTAGACTAGAGTGAGAGGGTCGGTGTATGTACCAGTAGACTAGAGTGAGAGGGTCGGTGTATGTACCAGTAGACTAGAGTGAGAGGGTCGGTGTATGTACCAGTAGACTAGAGTGAGAGGGTCGGTGTATGTACCAGTAGACTAGAGTGAGAGGGTCGGTGTATGTACCAGTAGACTAGAGTGTTTTCTCACACCTGTATTCAACTGTATTTTGTACACAGGAAAGTGCTCGTGGGGTAGGGAGTGCCGATTTTCTCACGGTTAGTTCAAACCGTTTCATCAATCCTCGTCCTCCTATAATAATCTCTTCAGATGATAGAGCTCTACCCGGACACCCCAGACCACACCCACCTCTCCATGGAGTGAGGGGAGGGGCAGACAGGTTCATAGAACCCTACCACGCACCTCGTGATCCTGACTTTGTTGGACATCCTCCAATTGGTGTGTCCGTCCCTCCTTTCACTCACCTGTTTTACAGTGTGTCTTGTACAGGAAGTGTTCTGACCCACCATCTTCCTCCTCCTCAACCTCCCAGGGAAGGAGCTCCACTATTCTTGCCTTACAAGGTGAGCCATCGATCCACACAGACTGTGTGTGTGTATGTGTGAAGTGTGGCTATTCGCAGGAACTGCGGAGGGGGTCAAAGGTGTCTCAGGTTGAGGAGGAGAGTGAGGGGTGGTACCGCCTGCGGACAGTGGCCAGGGACTGGAGCAGTGATGACGACGACACTCTACCTGAGGTCTGTCTCTCTCCCCTGCTGACAGCATCAGCATCTGCTGTCCCAATGGTGTGCAGAAGAAGTCCTCCAAGGAGAAGCGGCAGAAAGGAGATGACCGGAGGAACAGACACAGCTCACGAAGGGAGGTTGGTTTGTCTATTGTCTGGTGTCAGGTCAGTGATATAGTCCTCAGAGCTCTGGCTCCTCGAGTCCTGAGGCAGCAGAGAAGAAAAAGAAGAGAAGGAACCAACACTCGCCAGCCACAGGCATATCTAGCCATCTGGACAAAGCAGCTCACATTAGGTATATACACACTGTGTCTTAAAGTAGAACTACAGAACATGTCTACTGCACGTATATTGTTATACAAAAACTTGCATCTTACACGAAGGCCTTCAACAGTATATACAGTGTGTATGTGTACATGGAGTGTGTGGTGTAGGGATAAAGAGAGTGGCTTCGAAGACAGGGCAAGTCGACGGAAGGCAAGAAGACACAGCTCTAGTTCAGAGTCATCAGAGGTAAACTGCTACCAACTCCTTTCCCTGAGTGACTCGCTCACCTGCAGACCCAGCCTGCCTTCCTCCCTCACCAACCACCATTCCTCTTTGCTCCCGGCACCGGGCCTCCTCCTGACAGATTCTTCGCCCACAGCACTCCCTTCCCTCCCTTCGGTCCCCCCAGACCCCTCCCCCCTCACCTGGACCACAGGTCTCTTGGCTTCATCCACTCTGCTTCTGTGACTGTTAGTTTCTCTTCCCCAGACCACTACTGTTTGCACCCATCCCCCCTCACGTCCACTATCCAGACCGGTATGGTCCACCGCCATACCCTGACTGCCACAGGCAACCTCCCCATAGAGGCTACCACAGGTATATATTACACTGAGATGTCAGCATGTACAAACTGGTGTAAAACAAGGGAAAGTCGAACATGTACATACTGTGTTAGCTATGGTAGCCAAAGTCTCTTTCTGGCAGAGATCATTCTGCATCTCCGAAGAGGAGACGCCGCCGTAAGCTGAGCTCAAGTTCACAGTCTCCACAGTCCAGTCCAGACCACAGCAGCAGTCACAGTAAGAGGAAGGTCAGTTTGGCATGAATGCATGGTACCAACTCTGTGTGTACTGACTGTACTCGGTGTGGTGGAGAAGAAGAGAAAGAGCTCAGAGGACAAGAATCTCAACAGAAAGGAGCAGCTACTGCAGGAACTGAGTGTCATCAATAAGGTGATTGAGAGGAAGAAACTGAAGAAGAGTGGCAGCAAGAAATCAGAGTAGAACCAGAGAACTATGTTTGTAGTCATTTTCACCCCATCTTTTCATCCCAAATGTCTTTCTACTAATCATTCTGAAATTTCACTACTGAAATGAAACTGAACTCTGTTGCAGAATGAGGTCCATGTAAGCACAGGATATCAACTGGTCTGGGGAAACCCCTAGTTTACACATGAGGTCATTGGCAATTGTCTCTCCTTCCCTCTGGGACTGCTGGGGCCTCAGTACAACCTGGCATGGTGAATGCACAGCGCCAAATGCAGTATTACCACCTCATAACTGAATGGCATACCTCTAGCTCCAGGAAATCCCCCAGCCCCTCCACAGTGTCAATGTGTACTCTGGTCTGCCCCACTAGAAACAGCAGCCTTCTCTTCCTCACGCTCCCTGTAGAGAGGAAACTGGGCTCACCTGCTATATTGTGCCTGACCACTGTACCTAGTTCCCCCATAGCCTGACTCAGAATGGTTTTCAGCTCCTCTGGAGTCTAGTTGTAGCACAACTGATACACTCAACAGAGTACAACAGAACGAGGGGAAAGAAGACTGGCCTCAGTTGTAGCGATGGTGTAGTGACTGAGTTTTGGACCAGCACTGTCAGTTCTGTGGTAGTGGATCAGTTGGGCCACGCTTCCCTCCTCCACTCGCAGCTGTAGCAATACATCCACACGTCACTCACTAACTAGTGTGCATAAGCTGCCATCACCTTCAACCTGCCGCTGGCAGCGATGAAGAAAGTGTCTTCTTGTTCCAGCAGTAAACCTACGGACGGTAGCACGCATTTCTCCAGAGCAGGCGGTGCTTCATACCTTCATTCCCGCTCAATTCCTTAGCAACTGCCACGGCTCTGCCTCTGTCCGCCAGACGAGTCTTCACTTCCACATTCGTTGGCATCGCTTACTTCCGGTGGCCGAGAAGTATACTTAATTATACATGCTTTTACTTACTGACGACCCCATGCGCGCGCGCAAAGCGCCACGTGGGGGATAACGGGAAAAAAAGAAAAAGTGATTAAAAAAATTGGACGGATCGCTAATGTCCCCACATGCCAGCTCTGGTGTGATAATAGTGCACTAATCCAGGGTATCCCAGTCTGAAAAGCTCCAGTCCTTTACTTCGAAGCCTGAAGGGTATGTGTCACAATGTCAGTTCAACAAACGGTCTTGCCAACCTGTCCACAGCGTCCCAGTCCTCCCCACCCCATTTGGTGGTGTATTTCTGTACGTCGAATCCTCCAGTAGTGGTCCAGTCACTCTTGTACATCCCCAGTAGCCCATATGTCAGAGTCTCCCAGAATCCTGCCCTAGTCACCTCTGTTCTTCCCTCATTCAGCCGATAGAACATAGGGGCAAACCCCATCTTCCCCTGCACCACATGCTGAGAAGGGCAGAGGAGAGGGAATTCCCCAGGCAGCAGTGGGTGTGGCTTACCCTGCGAGTGTACTCCACAAAGCCGGGAGGTAGAGTGAGGTGCATGTCAATGGTCATCACAATTGCGTCGGGGTTCTGAGGAACGGGTGAAGCCTCACCACTTGTCCCCTACCCACACCTCCACTCACCGTCACGTAGTCGATGCCGGCCTGGAGCCCTCCACTGCGAGAGAAGCCTCCAGTCATGCTGATCACCTTCCATCTGGAGGAGGAGGTGGTGGCTGAGGAAGACAGGGGGACAGGGCTGTGTACCTGGGAAGAGAAGAGGCCCTCAGCTCTGCCGCCACATCCAAGTCTCCACTCTGGTAGTCCACTATCACTAGCTCAAATCTCTCGTCTCCCGTCACTTTGTAGATCTGTAGGGGACGTGATCGGTGGGTGTGGCGAGGAGAACTGGGCGTGGTCTCACGTGCTCCACGTTATGGATGAGGTGCTGGACCCAGACTCCCAAGTTCTTGACAGACACCACTAGGTACACGTCTACATTTCTCTTCCACTGGAAGTTGGAGGTGTGGCAGAGGCTGCTGGCTCCTGTTGCCAGGTACACGTACTCTGACGTGTGGAGTACCTCTGATATTACAGGGCAAGAGAAAGAGAGAGGATGGAGGTAATTTGATTAATAACAACGGGATTACCTTCATCCTTCTTGATATCCTATAAGAGAGAAGAGGAGAGTAAACTACGTTGTCATCAACTACACACAGCCCACCATCTCCAACAGTATTCTTGTGCCAGCGACAGCATGGCTGTCTGACTCATCAAGATAGTTGTTCTTCATGTTGTCAGTTGTGTCCATGTAATGAACTCCCAACACCTCTCCTCTGTATGTGACGCACATGTCTAACAGGACACAGGTCAACTCCGTCTTGCCTGTGTGAACTCTCATTGTACACCTTGCTGTACATGTCCAGTATCTTCATAGCAAACTGCACGAAACGTATGTACAAAATGAGGTATGAGCAAACAACACCACCCGGGACAATAAGAGCTGCTAATATTAGTTTGAGACATGGGGAACTGCACACATGCGACAAATTGAGGTGGTGAAACATACTGTCTGTGATACTAGATGTGTCCCTGTATCTCCACTGGGGTATATGTGGGCCCAAACCACCTGAAATATCAGAGGAGAGAAATCTGCAGTACAAGAACTAGCACTAACCCACCTCTTTGTGTCCCCCAGTATGTTTTCAGCTGGTGAGGGTAGGCCATCACCGACTGGTACTCACACTGTGGCAACACCTCCACTTCTGTGACTGCAGTTGCCATGTCTCCTACAAACACCTGTTTATCGTGTCTCTGCAACAAAAGAGAGAGCATGTGTGTGTGTGTGGGATTACTGATGGGAGATTAATACTCACTTGTAGAGCCATAGTGGGCAGCTGCAAGTTCATAAACAGACCAGGATTATTGGTCTTGACTACAGTGAACACAGTGGTAGGTAGCATTGACCGTTGTGGTTGTCTAGTGGTCTTACCATTGGCCAGAGCTGAACTAGGAACTTCACTAAACTCCACGCACCAGACAACTTCCACTGGTGACTGCTCATTACTAATACATCACCATGATGTAATGAAACATACCAAGACCTCAGCTACTGCTCTGCCGTTGTAAGATTGTTCCAGAAACTCAAAGTAGTAGACACCACATGACTGTAGACTGATGAAACCAATCATGGCAGGGGCTTCATCCAATGAAGAAGGAAACTTACAAAACTTCTTGACTTTTGGAACTGTTGCTCCGAATTCTCTGTGGAAAGAGGTTGTAAGAGAAAGGAGGGAGGGGAGGTGCTGACCTTGTCTGAGAGGGAGGAAAATGCCAGAAGGAGGGTCTGCCAGGGGTGAAAGGTTGGACTGAGCCAGAACTCCACGGAGGCCTTAGCAGTTGTCTCAGAGAGGCTAACCTGGAAGACATACTGACCTACAAGACAGGAGGTGGCTAAGTAATCAGAGACTCTACTAGAGGAGAGAGGAACCTGTGACTGGAGGAACAAGGTAGCCAAATGTCCTGTGAGCATACTTGCCTCCCACTGCCTTCCAGGCCTTCTGGTCAAAATCTCTCCTGAGAGAAGTGGTGGTGTCCTCAGTCTGTGGGTAGAGATGGTACTCTGGCTCCCCCCCCTCTCTCTCTCTTCTTCTTCTTCCTCACCCCAGGATGGAGAGGAAAGGCCCAGTGGACTCTCAAGTCATCCAGAGAATAGCCCACTGCATGGAACCACTGGTGACGAGTCACCACACCCACCTCCCCTCTCACAGAGGGGACAGGTGTCACTGAGCAGTTCACTGCACTTTTCCTGAACTGTGGAAGACCTGAAGGCCACTACCAACACTGTGGAACTACTTTATAGAGTATCTACCTCCCGGGACACGAGGTGAGGAAGAAAGACTAAAGTAGAATGAGACGAAGGAGGCCACCACGCAGACAGCGAGTATAGTCCGCCGTACTTTCCTGCCCACCTCCCCTCCGCCTCGTCTCCATATCGTACACACCGCTCCACACGCACACAGACAACTCCCCAAAATCGCAGCCTCCATTTTTCCATTTAGTGCCCACCACAAACGATCGTGTCAAAGTGCCCACCGTGGGTGAAAGTCACAGCAAGCGGATGGAGGATGAAGGCCTTGCGAGCTATGTTGGGAGCTGTGATTGTAATGGCTGCTACTGTTATGATCTTCTCCATCACTCTATCATGTGAGCTCCAAGTTCTGGGGGTCCGGCCTGTGTGTGTAACGGTATTGTTGTCTCACTAGCCCCCAGAGTGTTGAAGGAGGACCCCCGTTATAGATTCCCAGGGAAGGAGGAGAGAGGAATGTCGCCACCTTCCTCTCACCTCCTCTCCTCGCCTTCACAGCACGTCATCTCCCCTCTGCCGTCTGCCCAAACACCATTCAACTCTACCACCACCTCACAGATACCTACCACAGCACTTTCCTCTGCAGCTGCTAATGCACCCTCATCCCCCACTCATCTACACTCACAGACAACAGAAACTACTGAAACTGAAAGAACTGAAGAAACTGCCCCTCAAAATGTCCTCTTTGACAGTGATGTGGGTGGAAAGTGTAGTTAATATTGTAGAACGTTCTTCTCCTTCTTCTCCCCAGATGATAGGGCACTTGAACTATGACATATGGAGACATCCAGTAGGCTACTGTGTTGATGACCTGAGGATTAAGAGGGACTTCCCCTCCCGGCCTGAGACACGAAAGAGTATTGATCAACTGCAGACCACATTCAGTGCCAAAGACAAGGACTCTCTGGTCAACAAGTACGGCCACAAGATCTATGGCTACCTTCTTCCAGCCACACCAGGTATACTTATCACATCTGCATAATGATTAGCAGCAGTTACTCACATGCAAACTGTACTGAATTCAGTTAAGAGAGGAAAGTGTGTGTCGTGGCAAGTGAGAGTAGACAGTGATTTTCCGGCCACAGGTGGCCACTGGCTGAGGATGGAGCTGACTCAAGTGACTGCAGCCTGCAGCGCTGAGGTTTGGCTCAGCTCGGGTCCTTCACCTCTCGCCAGCCGACTTGTCGTCTCTGCTGAGACTCTCATGATGGTTCGGACCCTCTCCCCTTCCCTCACCTACATGTCCACCTCCAATCCCATTGCAGGGTAGAGTTCAGAAAGCCTCCACAAAGGAAATACAAGACTCGGAAGAAATACAGTAAGTTGTGTGATGCTGCCGTTACTATGGTGATGTTTATTAGCCTTCCACGCCTCAGACTAGGACCAGGCACCTACTATTTCGAATTTCTTGAGAAGGCATTTGATGGGAAGTGTGTGGCGACTGTAAAAGTTAGTCTGTCGTTCATTCTGGCAGAATGGTGTAAAGTATTGTGTTTTCAGTGGAAGCAGCCTGGAGACACCGATTTCAAGACCATCTCTTCTGATCACTTTGCCATGGCTGTCAAATGTGAGTCACACTGAACTCTTCCTAGTGAGCTACCCACTCCCCCTGCCTCCTCTGTCAGTGAAGCCAGGAGGCTCCGAGTATGCTGATGGGTGGCCAGTCGTGGAAGAATTGCAAGGAGATCTCCCCAGCAACCACCTCCAGTCCCACGCCACAGTCCAATACACAGGAGACACCATATACCCCAGTCAGTAACTATTCACACTCATTCCTTCTTTGTGGGTGACACCTCAACTTGGTGAATTTATCATAATATTTGTCAATGCAGTCTCAGAGCTGGATGTTCTGGAGAACTGTGAGTTCACCTCTCAAGTGGCATATCCTCGCATACTGAAGAAACAATATGAAGGAGTTTACCAGGTACTCAGCACCCTTTCCTTGAATCCTACACTCTCTCAATTAGTCTTTCGCCCCTATACCCAAGTTTGGCGATTGATTTGGACGTCAGAACCGCTGCGGGGTTCCACCAGAGTAGCTCCCATCCTTTCCCCTCACCCCAAATATTTTCTTTTCCCCCTATCTCGCCACTCCACAGATAAGAGAGAGTCTGGTATTTCCAAAAGATCCTACTGTCTTTCTTCACTGGAGGAAGAAAGACAAAGGCAACAGGTTCATGAGTGAAGAGGTAAGCTTCATCCACTCCCATGATCTCAGTTGACTCCGCCCACTGTTCCAGAGGAGTGGACATGTACTGGAGTTGTACAAGAAAGCCTTCGCTGAAAAAAGCAGCAGGTCAGTTGATATTTATGGGTATGGGTTTACTACCCTCTCGACTGGCAGTGGAGAGGTGAAGATAAACAAGATTGAGGAGACAGAGAATAAGAAAGCTGGTTCAAGATTTCTGCTGGAACTGGTGGGTATGAAGAGAGTTTGAGGAGAGGAAGGATACAAAAAGTTGTGTGCTGCAGGACATACAGCTGGAGGGAGAGAGTGAGGTACTCCACACGTCAGAGTACGTGTACCTGGCAACAGGAGCCAGCAGCCTCTGCCACACCTCCAATTTCCAGTGGAAGAGAAATGTAGACGTGTACCTGGTGGTGTCTGTCAAGAACTTGGGAGCCTGGGTCCAGCACCTCATCCATAACATGGAGCACGTGAGACCACGCCCAGTTTTCCTCGCCACACCCACCGATCACGTCCCCTACAGATCTACAAAGTGACGGGAGACGAGAGATTTGAGCTAGTGATAGTGGACTACCAGAGTGGAGACCTGGATGTGGCGGCAGAGCTGAGGGCCTCTTCTCTTCCCAGGTACACAGCCCTGTCCCCCTGTCTTCCTCAGCCACCTCCTCCTCCTCCAGATGGAAGGTGATCAGCATGACTGGAGGCTTCTCTCGCAGTGGAGGGCTCCAGGCCGGCATCGACTACGTGACGGTGAGTGGAGGTGTGGGTAGGGGACAAGTGGTGAGGCTTCACCCGTTCCTCAGAACCCCGACGCAATTGTGATGACCATTGACATGCACCTCACTCTACCTCCCGGCTTTGTGGAGTACACTCGCAGGGTAAGCCACACCCACTGCTGCCTGGGGAATTCCCTCTCCTCTGCCCTTCTCAGCATGTGGTGCAGGGGAAGATGGGGTTTGCCCCTATGTTCTTCCGTCTTAATCAGGGCTACACTGAGATTAACATCAACGGTCAGTCACTTTGCCGAAAATTCCTATATAGCATGTTCAAAGCGTGTTGCGGTCGATATTGCAGGATTCTGGGAGACTCTGACATATGGGCTACTGGGGATGTACAAGAGTGACTGGACCACTGCTGGAGGATTCGACGTACAGAAATACACCACCAAATGGGGTGGGGAGGACTGGGGCGCTGTGGACAGGTGAGTTCCAAAAGTGTCCAGCAATGTACCGACTTGTCTTTCTGTGCAGAAGTTGTGACTCACGGAATTGAACTGTTCAGAGTCAGGTACCCAGGACTGGCGCACTACTACTTCCACACCAAAAAGGCATGTGGACAACAACCTACAATCTAAGTACAATCACTTAGTACTACCATGGTTTTTCGAATATTTTTTATTTTAAAATCTCCTCAACGTATTATTGTCGCGTGAAAGGAAGGAGAGTGAGAGAAGTGATGCTAGCAGCAGTTGCAGGACCTGTTGTTCTGCTGGGTGAGGTGGGATCTATGAGTGGTTCTAGTGTCCTGCCTGCTGACACTCCTGATCCAATCCTCCAAACTGAGAGTGAATTCTGCAAATCAAACTTTTCAAATCCTCCTTCACCCCCTGGCCAGTGAGAGCAGAAACCTGGCCACTAGTTCTGGCGGGATCTTGCTGGCTGTGCTGAAGGCTTCCACTGTTGGTTCCATGGCGCAGGCGTTGTCAGACTCGCTCTTGTTGCCCCAGAGGGCCGGCACGACGTGGTGGGAGAGTTGAGGCTGCGGGCCTCACTCAGCCAGTCTCCAGAGCAAACAGTCGTGTCTTCTTCCTCCAGGGAGTAGACCAGAACCCACTCCGTGGCAGTTCCGGAAGTAGTTTTGCTGTCATGGCCGTGTAGCGCTCTAGTCTCCTGTGTCCCATAGACTCACCTGCAGAACCACATGCACCATAATACCTGTATTGCATTATTACTGTACATAGCTACAGGGAATCCACATGTGTGCTTATTTAACGGGGCCCACTCAGAGTCAAGTGAACAGAAATGTCACAACGTACCTTGACCTCCTCTCCATTGATCTTCAGGACATACAAACCCCTCTCTAGTCCATCCTCGTACTGACCCGTTGGAAGAGCGAGGATGTTCGGGAATGGAGTCGTAGAGGATACGGTGGAACAGAGCAGAGTCTTGTCCCACCCCCACCCGGGCCACCATGATTGATGCTGTAGTGACGGCCTCGCTTACCCGATGACTGCTGCGTTCCCACGGAGTATCACACAAGTACTTCGCCGTAGCAGACCTTTCGACCATGTGTCTCCAGG